GCACAAGGTCCCGGAATGAAGTTGGAACAATGCATCAATGTGGGGGATCTCCGACCTCGGGGACACACGCGGATTCTATGACCCCAGAGTAGATGGTAAACTATACGCCTTGCAGCTTAAAAACAGTATTTACAAATGCGTTGAAGTCCCCTCCATCGGTAGAACCCTAGGTGATATAGTAGATACCTCAGGAGCGGCCCTCAACACTCGGTTCGACCTAGTCCGCATCGGTGATGATAGATGGGCGGTATACCCATCGTTCGGAGGTAAACTGTTCGACTTAGAAGATGTTGAGAGAACGGCCGTTGTTAGAAACAAGCAGTATACCCTCGTCTTCACTGACGACGACAAGTGGGAGTTGTTACCCGCTCAAGTCGACTGGTTTCTCAACATTAGTCTCGGCTCCCCCTACGTGTTCACGGAGAACAAAGACAACTACCTTAACAAAGTTGTGAACAACGGAACCCTGCTCGTGGCTTACGTCCCGGCGCAGAGACGTAGTGTAATCATCAGCCCATCAGCCCACTCTCAAGTATGGCAGCCCACATGCTATCGAGTAAACCGGGAGTGCAAAACGTGGCATTGCAGGTGGTGTCTGAATTCGCCGGTGTCAAAATCCTGGAAGGTCTACCAGCAAATTCCACGCTGGCCATCCAAGTCTACCTAGGGGAACCATCGCAGGATGAAGTCGAAGTCGTGAAGGGAATCAAACTCTGGTGGCGCAAACGACACCAGTATCACGTTTGCACAGTTTACGTGCGGGTGGGTGTCGACTCCCACACCAGTCTGCAGGGGGTCACCGTGACCGTGGAAGACACGATATCCCTCACCAAGATCTTCCTACCCGACAACATACACCTCATGGGGGTGAGGTGCACCCCTGAACTACTATCAGAAAGACAATTGGAAACTATCTTGTAATAGTATTATAGCAATGTCCAATCGTCATCGACCCAACGCCACGCTTAACAACCTAGGAGACACGGAGGGATTCGATCTGCCCGGCGAGGAAGACGCCTTGTACGTCCTACACTTGAAAGACAACGTGTATAGGCGGGCGGCAATGCCCGATCATCGACCCAACATCACACTTGGGGACTTTAGAGAGCCCAAATGGTTGATCAACATGACCCTCACCACACCTTACGTCTCTTTTCCCAGGGGTGGCCCTATCACTAGTCATATCACCGAAATTAAGAACAACGGTATCTTGCTCGGGCGTTTCACCCCCCCCAAACTTTCAGAGTATAAGAGTTTCCCAAACACCAAATCGCCCGGGCTACATGTTAAATGCACCCATGGATACACATTTAATATTTCAATTATACGCTGGCCTACTATATTCTATGGTTATGCCCCCAGGCTCCACATTCATCATAGAATTCTTTTTCAGAGACAATATTGATCAGGGGTTGGGTCCCCCCCTGGCGCTTTTTACCTGAGGTGGAAATAAGATGGCCACATTCATATCCATTTAGGGACCGCCATTGTCGTATCGTCATACGACGAAGCTCGGACCCCTCACTGGGGTTGCTGCCCCCCTTAATAAGCAACCATATAATTAGTATAGAACAAGAGTTACCTATTGACCTTTCCACTATTCGCCTATACGAGCACGTAGGCCTTATAAGCCTCAAATGAAATCGATTTGTCAAGTGGAGAAGAGACATAGGACTCTTGGAATCTCCAGTGTCTATCCCCTTGATTGAGGATTTCCTCCTGTTCTTGAGAGAAGTTAGGAAACTGAAACATAACACCATAAAGGGTTATATATCGGCAATTGCATCAGTCTATGACATTGCGGTATTTCAGTGGGAACTAATTCATCACTTCATACATTAATCAGATCCTTCCAGCTCAAGGACGTACAACTCCTTCTATCTTTCTGAAGTGTGACTTATGCCTAGTTCTGCAGTGCCTTAAAAGAGTTTCTTTTGAATCCATCCAAGCTACTATCATTTAAAACAGCGCTCCTACTGGCCTTTGCTAGTGGGCCATCCTGTGCGAGGATTCTTAATTTAGGTCACCGACACCGTCATTTGTTTTCTGCCTTAGATTAATCGTAATTATCCTTAGAAAGTATTCAATTTGGCATCTTAGAAAAGAAATACAGTTCGCTCTACCACCATGTATAGTGTAATAAAGCACAGTTTCGCCTTGAACTATTATAGTTTAAGCATGAGGACGTTTGCGTCCAAACTATCATAACGTTAAAGCATAGGCAAACTGTAGCTCAAAAAGGGTTGCGCAACAAGGAGAAAATGATCAGTCTTCCTATATGCGAGCGAACTTAGGTTCCCTCACTTAGGTTCGAAAAATATTTGTAACATCAAAATAAAATATCGCCACCATCAAAGGTAGACACTCATTTCCTCACAGGGTTGTGCTCTCTGATTTCCAAGCTCATATTTAATAATTACTCACGTAAAATATATTTCATTCAACATTTTAAGCACCACTCGTGGCATAACAAATCGTTCTTCGCCATATTTATTGTAACATTTTGTTTCTATCATGAATATTAATGAAAAAGTATTTTCATTATGACAAGGTATTTTTCCTATTATTATTTTCTTAATATTCAAATGATGTTTTCTTATTACCAAATTACATAATACAATAAATTTTGGCTGAAACTAAAACTGACTTGTATGTGTATTTCAGACCCGATGTGGAAGATTCAGAACTTGTTTGCTATGAGAAGCGTTTGTCATCCAGTCAGGTAACAAGCTTGTCTTCGATACCAAGTGGAAACAAGATCGTCACTGGCTAAAATATGTTGAGGATGCAAATGAGGAGGGTGAAAGAAGCTGCATGATGTTTTGTTCTCTTTGCACTAACTGGAATGTGCAAGGACAAAATGGATCCATGGTTTGGACACAAGTTGGATGTCAGACAGTAAGACTGGACAAAATTACTCTGCACGAGAAGTCTGCAAATGACATATTTCATAGTTATTCCGAGCAGGAAACTTCATCACTGGTAGATGCACAGAAAGTTTTGTTCTTTTGATCAAGCACAATTTGCCGCATACAACAATGTTTGGACCTCTCATAGACATGTGTGCTGAACTTGGTGCTCTTAATATAGCCAAACTGAACCATGGAAAGAATGCCACGTACACTGGACATAGAACAGTTCAGAAATTTCTTGAATGTCAGGCTGAGGTAGTAGAAGAGCAAGTCCTACAGAAGATGAGAGAGCAATTCATTTGGCTTGATGCTTGGCGAATATACAGATGTGTCCACCAGAAATCACCTTGTATTCATGGGAAATGGAAAGTCGAAACTTGCATTTCTCCAAGATGCTGAAATTCCTAATGGAACTGCAGACATTATTGTGGAGGATGTCAAGGACTATTTACATGAGACTGACCTGGACCAGAATAAAATGACCTGTTTTGCAAGTGATGGTCCAGCTGCTATGACAGGCAAAAGGAATGGCATAGTTGCACAACTGAAGAGAGAGATTGATTGATGTCCACTGTGTGAATCATAGACTGCAACTGGCTGTTAGTTCAGCTTTCAAATCAGTGACTGAAATCTAGTCTGTTGATGAAATGTTAATGGGACTTTTTAAGTACTATCAATACAGTACTGTAAGATCCAAGAGCCTTTGAACAGATGCAGACATTGACCAGAGAATGGAAAACACTGCAGATGACACAGACACGTGTAATGTGACAATCAAAAAGGTTGTCCACACTCGTTGGCTGAGTCATGAAAAAGCTGTTCATGCTGTCAAGAGAACCTATCCTGCTATCCTTGCTGACCTTGAGAATGCAGTTAGTGTGGGGAATGACAAGCGGGCTGGTGACAAACAGAGTGTGACTGCTGAAGGTCTGTACAAACAACTGATGTTCTACCAGAAGTTTGATTGCTTCTGTGTGACGTTTGTTCACTCCTGTCAGGATTTACAAAGATGTTTGAGAGGGGAGATCTAGACTTAAGTATTGTTGAGCCTCAGATGAGAAGTTACTTGGCATCTTTCAAAAAGATGAAGGAGAAACCTGGTCCATACCTATCACGTCAAGTCAAGTCAAGTTTATTGTATTCAAGGCCTCCGGCCAATATACAAGGAGTTACATACATATACATAACTATAATACATAATACAATGGCAATCATGAAATTACTTGGATAACCTATCATTTCTCAACACAACAGCATGTTTTACAAATAGAAAAAGGTTACGGATAACAGTTTCATTTCTGGAAGTGAGAATCGAGACAAAGGCTATTGTTGGACATTTTGATAGATAATTACTTGAAATATATTTTCTTCTAAGATCATTATAATATGGACATACAAATATAAAATGAATTTCATCTTCAATAGATGAAGTGCATAATGGACATATTCTCATATTTCTTTCTATAGACAATCGTCTACCTTTATTAATACTTAAATCTAATAGACCTAGTCAGAGCTGAACAAATGTGCGTCTGATATTTCTTGATGTCAATACAGATAAATCCCATGTGGATCCACTCTGAATTTACTCTTCTTCCCCATTGTGGAAATTTGCTGAGTTTCCAATGAATATGGTTGGCTTCTACACCACAGCTAATTGTGTCTACCAAGGCAAACAAACGTTGTCTCATGCATCATTCCATTCATACCGGGTGCTCCCTGTGTCTGGATGTTTGCCATCAATGTGGTATTGTTTGAAAATTGGCACAAATGGATCCACTATGACTTGATTGAAGAAGAATCTGTTTGCATCTCAAAATTTGCAGAATCCCTCAAAAGTCACCGATGTATAGCATGCTTCAACAGAAAATATTCAATGGTTTTGGAGTTCTTTTCTGCAAATTGAAAACAGATGGCAGACAGACGGACAAAAATGCTGGTCGCCATAGCACTATTTTTTCAAACCGGGGGAGATAATGAGGTTATGACGGATAAATATAAGCATACATAATCTCACACATAAAATTATAAGAATTTGAAGATGAATGTATGTATGTGGTAATTTGAAAACATATTTTAGTCAGTTACCTCATAAATTGCCCATCCTTCCACACTTCCAAGGCCAATCTTTTCTGCTAGTCTTTCCAAAAGCTCTGTACTTGTGTCACAAGGTAGGACTGTTACAGCTTTTGTCTTCCCATCCATGAAATACACCTTACAGATAATTGGGCTCAATGCTCTTACACTCTGGAAGTAAACAAACATAAAAATAGAGCCTTTAATATTTTAGCCTAAATAATTGACATATTTTAGCTCAGTTGAATGAAATAGGAAGAAGAGAACTGCATTATCACTAGTTCCTACCTTAGGACATTGTTTTATGTTCATTTGTTAGTGAATAATATCAAGTTCATATTGAAAAACCTGGAGTAACAGCCTAAACTCTGAAAGAAGGAATGTAATGCTGGAAAAATAATATTTGCAACAACAATTTTCAATTTAAAAACATGTATCTCTCAGATAAGCCTTTGAAGTTTCATTCATAAAACTTCAGGAGATTTCTAGAAACTAGTCCCTGCTGCAGCAACTATGCACAAATTAATTTGTTTTTTAAAGCATCACCTTGTTATAATATGCATGCAATAAAGATTGTCTATTGAAAATAGCAGATAACATCCTTTAAGAATGAAGCATGCATGTATGCATGTTTGTGCAGAAACAACATAAGCAAGAATGAATTAGAATTATTAAAATCTTAATGTTTTAGATATTTAAATACTAACCTTACCTCATGGTAATGTGCCTATTACCTTTGCTCATGCGATACAAAGATTGGAAACGTGATCAATAAGTATCCTTATTGAAGGCTATCATGAAACTAGTGACGTGTCAATCTCATCCAGCGAGGTAAGGTAAGTATTTATATATCTAAGGATCCTTTGCCATCGGTCCGGTGGAACCCACAGAAGCTCTTGGTCTGTAAGGAACAAATCCCCTATGAATGTCAACTGTTGAGATGGCTCTAGGTGGGATTTTTCGAGGTTGACAATCCAACCGAGTTGTTAGAAGAGATTGAGTGTAAAATCCCTCTGTCTGCGTAGCAGCAGGCACTCCTTGTGGCTCATGAGAGCTCTATCCCCAGAAGATGAAGATACCGGGAAATCGATGCTGTAATCCGAGTGAAAAGCCACGGGGCCATAGTAATGCCAAACGGCAGGACCTTCCACTGGTAATGGTGACCGTCGAAAATGAACCTGAGGAACTTCCGGTGAGGTTCGTAGATGGGAACGTGTAAATAGGCATCTTGAAGATCCAGACTGAGCAACCAATCCTTGGGGGACAGTTTGGTTCATAGCTGGACCAGAGATATCATCTGAAAATGTGGTGGCTCCGGAAGGTACAGTTCGTGGCCATATTGTGTATCATCCTCATCTTCTGAGAATTCTTTTTGGATACTAAGAAGATGGGAGAGTAAAACCCTGGGGAGTTGCTGGGTTCTAGCACTTGTTCTATGGCTTTCTTGTCCAGCAATGACTGGATGTTGGTCAACAGGTGCTGGTGTTGAACGATGGAATATTTGCGAGACCGAGGCAAAGTGGTCAGAGGCAGCGACTTGGCTATTGGCAGCTTGTAGCCTGTCTTGAGGAGATTGGTCCCAGTCGTGACCGCCCAAAACATCAGTGGCGCTTGTACTTGGGCTTACCGTCTTGCCCAATTCCTTTTGTTTACCGGCGGGACGACGATGGAAGTCTTTGGGATGTCCTCTACCACGCCCTCTAAAGGCTCAACGAACCGACGTCCTCCTGGACTGGTAGAGGTTGGTGGTGCTGGTAGCTGGCGCTGACAACGTGGCGAAGTGACAAAAAGATCGGAGCACAATCCCAGTTTGGGTTAAGGAGGCATGCTCTGAGAAAACATCTGGGATCTTATTCTGCGAATAAGGTGGGAGCCACAATGGGGCACACATCATTCTTTTCTTGAATTCTTCCTGCCAGGTACAGGGAGCGAGTAACCCAGTTCTCCTAGTCACAGTGGTGGTAGCTAAGGCAGAACGCACGTGATCCAGTACTCTTGCCTGCCACCTGAACATAGTGGTAAGATAATCTAAACGGGAAGGGTTAGCCTCCGAGAGATCTTGAGACGTGTCCGAAGCAAGCACGGAGTCAAAAGAATGCACAAAGTCAAAAGAATGCACCTTGTAATCCTGACGGCGGTGTTTAGCAGGCTTGATGGAGGGATTGAGAGATAACTTTTGGAAATCCTCGTCAAGTGAAGCAATGGCATCAGCAACCATGGGGTGCGGTGGCAGAGGTTCATCCCAAATGGAAGTAGCACAAGGAACATCCGACCCTGGAGACGGGCAACTGATAAGTCTGTCAGCTATCCAGGCGTAAACACTCTCCATGCCCAAGTGCGTCAGACCCTGGTTGTCGTCTTCCTCATAATCTGGAACAAACTGCACCTCCGACAAAAGAGATGAGGAATCCCGCGACCTAAACAAAGGGGATCGGGAACACTGATGAAGAGGTGAAAGTTGTCTCCGAGGTGAGCGCCTAGGTGAGCGCCATGGGGAACGCCGAGGCGAGCAGCGCCGGACGTCCCGTACAGGAGAGCGCCTGGGAGAACAGAAGAGAGCCGAGGGGAACGCCAATGCAAACATCTAGGAGAAAAGCGCCGAGTGTCACGCTCTTGTGCACGTTTGGGAGAGCGCTGAACGTCCTGCATAGGTGAATGCCTTGGAGAAAGTTGAGGGGAGCATTGACGATCCCTAGACAAGCACTTATCATCTCCGGAAGGTGAACGATGGTCAGAGGAGCGCTGGCGTTCCTTACAGTGACCATCCTGATGCTGTCGATCCTCCTTCTCCTGGAGACCAGGAGATCCATGAGCTGGGGATCCTGAAGAATAGATGGAGCGCCTGGATTCACTGCATTGTCGATCTGGGCTTGTGTGAGGGGGCTCGCTCTGGAGCGTTCTGGAGATGAGAACTGGCGGGGAGGCGAAGTCGAAGATCGCCGTTCTACTGAAGTCGTAGGGGCATTCCCAAGCTGAGTTATAGGCATCGAGGAAACCTGAGTAGTCTCACAGGCGTCGTTAGAAGACATGAGGCGCTTGCGTTGAGTAAAGCGTTTGTTCCGAGCAGCTAGGAACGCTTTAAAGTCGGTGGAAGGTAGGTCCCGGCAAAATGAACACTGAGAGGTCCAAGTACACGCTGAGTCGACCAGACAGTCTGGGTAGGCAGGGTGGGGGTCTTTAGCCGACTTCTGAGACTTGCACCCATTGCAGTAAACACGTGGCATGAACTAACCACTGCAAACTGTGACAACAGAAAAACAACTACTGTTGAACGCATGTTAAGTAAATGTAACATTACAAATAAGAAATTATAGCATAACAAACAGTTATGATAATGCAAATATAAGCCTCATATGGCAAGAGAAGGCTCACGTGCAGAAACACATAAACTGTGGTATACGCACGTTTACCAATAAAAAAAATAAACGCCGACAGCTTAACGCGACAGTGAAGAGAAAACGGAATATGAAACTAAACGACAACTGTGAGCACACACTTGTAGCTCTGCATGTATGTGCCACGCCTAGCGGCAGACGCCATTACTGCCAAAAACGTGAAAAACTCAACGAGGGGAAACGCAGAAAATATAACACAAAAAGAGAGAACAAGATACATACAATGATCAAGCAAGGACAAAAACAACCCAGCCTGACCAAGGACGTACCTAATTCTGCAGAAGCGAAGCTGGAAGAACTACGCGAGGTGAACACAAAGCAAACAAGACACCGCGAAGACTGTACAGTAAGAAAAAACAGCCAACGGTGAGTAGAATTTTCTGTTACATCATGGTTGAAGGATACAATAAGAAAACCTTACCGTAGCAAAACACAAAGAATACAGTAAGAAACTAAATCAGAAATATCCTATACACTTCGGTACACGTCCAACTCGCCGGACGAGATCAACACGTCACTAGTTTCATGATGGCATTCAACAAGGATACTTATCGATCACATTTCCAATCTTTGTATCGGATGAGCAAAGGTAATATGCACATTACCATGAGGTAAGGTAAGTTAAAAATTAGATTTATTATACATGATTATTTATATACTCACAGAATAATTTGGCACAATTTGGGAGCTGGCTCAGTTGCTACTTACTAAATATTTTATAAGATTGGTTGCAGGGGCAGTAGCCGGCCTGTACAAACCGAGATGGAAGCAATTGCAGGGGTCAAGCCGGCCTGACAAAGCTTAATGTGTAGAGGCAGTAGCCAGCCTGCACAGGGTGAAGATGGAAGAATTGATTTATAAGAATTGGGGGATATATGATGAAATAAACTGGCCTAAATGAGGTAACAACCGAGAGCCCCCAATGATATAGAGGTAGAGTGAGTGAGTATGGAGTTACGCCACTTTTAGCAATATTCCAGCAACATCACGGCAGGGGACACGAGAAGTGGGCTTCACACATTGTACCCATGTGGGGAATCGAACCACGAAGAACGAACACTTCAACCTCCAGGCTACCTCACCTCCCTTTGGGAGGTAGATATAGTGAAGCCTCGTTAATCTGGACGGTTGCGTTTTTCAACAAATTTGTCCGGATTACGAATCATCAGGACTACTGAATCAAGACCCAAGTTCAAGCAAGAGTTGCTTCCCTTTCTATTACAAAAATGACACGACTCTGGATAAAACAAATAAACATTTAATGTAAAGCTTATAAAACGATGAATAGCAAGCACAACAATAAATTATAGTCATAGCAAAAAGTCTATCATAGTTGTTTTCAGCACTCACAACATCCGACGTGTCTGATCACGTCCTTCCTCAGCACAGGTGAGGTAATGTCTAACAAGCGATATTTTGTAGTATGCCTTGAATGTCCGAATTATTCCTGCATCCATTGGTTGAATATGAGACGTGGTATTTGGTGGCAAAAATAGACTGCATCTGTCTGTCAAAGTACATTAACCAATCACAAAACAGCTCACTTTGTCATCCACGCCTTTGTATTGTGGTGTCAATCAAACTGTAAATGTACAGCATCTTCTGTCGGGAGCTTTTAATGTCTAATTAAAACAACAACCCTTAATTGACATTTCTCAAAAGTTAACAAGAGTTCATCTTGTCAACTCCATGACCGAGTGTTTATTGTTTGAGGCCAGTTAAGTAAACATCGCTGGGAGGTGTTGTTATGGTTCGTGAACACGACTTACAGCGTCCGGACTGTGAAGCAATTTACTGTTTATTTTACTGATTGGTTACAGCTACTTACCAACCGGTTCAAGAAACCGAATTTCCGGATTAACAGGGTCCGGACTAACAGGGCTTCACTGTACATGCCTATGAATGTATGTATGTAGCTGTACATATGTATGTAGCTGTATGTATGTATGTATGTACGTACGTACGTGTAATATGTGTACGTATGTGTGTGTATGTATGTTTGTGTGTATGTATATATGCATGTATGTATGTGTGTATCTATGTATGTAATGTAATGTGTGTGTGTATCTGAGTGTTTGTGAGTATGTATGTATATATGTATGTGTGTATCTATGTATGGTATGTAATGTAATGTGTGTATCTATGTGTGTTTGTGTGTGTATCTATGTGTGTGTTTGTGTGTATGTATATATGTATGTGTGTATCTATGGTATCTATGTGTTTTTGTGTATGTATGTATGTATGTAATGTGTGTGTATCTATGTGTGTTTGTATATTTGTATGTGTGTATGTATGGTATCTATGTGTGTTTGTGTGTGTGTATGTATGTATGTACGTACGTACACACATTACACCTACATACGTATGTAGGTGTAATGTGTGTACATATGTGTGTGTATGTATGTATATATGCATGTATGTATGTGTGTATCTATGTATGTAATGTAATGTGTTTGTATATCTGAGTGTTTGTGAGTATGTATGTATATATGTATGTGTGTATCTATGTATGTATGGTATGTAATGTGTGTATCTATGTGTGTTTGTGTGTGTGTATCTATGTATGTATGGTATGTAATGTGTGTATCTATGTGTGTTTGTGTATATGTGTGTATCTATGTATGTATGGTATCTATGTGTGTTTGTGTGTATGTATGTACGTAGGTGTAATGTGTGTACATATGTGTATGTATGTTTGTGTGTATGTATATATGCATGTATGTATGTGTGTATCTATGTATGTAATGTAATGTTTGTGTGTATCTGAGTGTTTGTGAGTATGTATGTATATATGTATGTATGTATCTATGTATGTATGGTATGTAATGTAATGTGTGTATCTATGTGTGTGTGTATCTATGGTATGTAATGTGTGTATCTATGTGTGTATATATGTATGTGTGTATCTATGTATGTATGGTATCTATGTGTGTTTGTGTGTATGTATGTATGTATCTATGTATGTATGGTATGTAATGTAACATGTGTGAGTGTGTGTATCTATGTGTGTTTGTGTGTATGTATATATGTATGTATGTGTGTATCTATGTATGTATGTGTTTGTATTTATGTATCTATGGTATGTATATATGTAATGTGTGTGTATGCATGTGTGTTTGTGTATATATGTATCTCTGTATGTATGGTATGTAATGCAATGTGTGTGTGTATGTATGTATATATATATATATATATATATATATATATATATGTGTGTATGTATAATACTGCTATATAAGTAATACAAGTCACCTCCACAAAGACATAATATAAGTTATAACTGTAAACTGCATGAATAGGGGAATGGTTTCTTCAAATTTGGGAATTCTTACTGATATCTGAAGCAAAATTCAGTCTCTATCAAGGCCCAGGTAAATCAGTTCTGGAAACAAGGTATCTCCACTGGAGCGTTAAATGCCATCAAGCAACAAAACACAAAGTATTTTCAAAAGTATATTTTGCAGTGTCTGTTAAAAGCATAAAGCATACAAATTTACCTGGTGTTGCTTCATTACTTACCATAATTTCAATTGCTGATGGAGGCAATTTTCTTGAGGATACACGGGGAACTGTCAAGTGTTTGTGACACATCAGCGCATACTTTCCAACAAGAGCATCCGAGCAATTCATCTTCACATAGGAGAGCAGGTACTGAAAAATAATTAGATCCACATAGATTTGTAGTCCACCTGAAATGTTCTGGAACATTTTCAACACTACACTTGAGAAACAAATAACAGGAATACACACAAAAGTAGACCCACAGCTTTGTAACTCAACTGGATTTGTCATGACACAACTTGAATTATAAACAAAAGTTATCAGCTCCATCATTCAAATATTGCCTGTACAAACAGTGAAAAAATAGTTAATAATAGTAATAATTCAAAGATACCATAGCATATGTGCTAACATTACCAGTTAGTCCAGAATCTCTGACCTTACTGACTTCACCCATGTCTGGAAAGGATGAAGCAAAGGCCTCCCCAGGTAAGTCACTCCCATTGGTGACATTAGATTGCAAAGAAGCCACATCCACAACAGAAGATGTGGGTGGGCCAATCTGTCACTTAAGTGACTATTAGTCCACTGTGAAAAAGGTAATCCTACTCATATGTAAACAATTTTGTGCACCAGGACTATTTTCCAGTTCAAAAGGAAGGGCAAGAAAACCTAGATGTGACTCAAGTTGGTTGCAAAAGAACCTATTATGCAAATCTAATGGTCCTCCTGATGAGCTGATAAATCAAAATTGACAATGTATCCCTAAAATTTTACTCAGTGTTTGTGAACTTGTGCTCTTATCCAACTGAACTGTCAAGATGCAATCAATATCCTGAACTAAAATGAAAGTATATTGGAGCCATTACTCTATCAAATGTACTATAACTAATGTACCTTTCCCTCCCTCTGAAGTCTGAACATGAGATCTCCTTGTAAATCCCTGCTTTGTAGTTTTGTGTGAAGCTTTACCTGATGGAATAAACCTCCTTCCATGGCCCCCCAAAAAAGATAAATCACTGGCTGGATCCATGTGAGGCTTCTTTGCAAGAGAGAGATCCATGCAGGTTGATATGGAATAATGAAACCAATTATAATATTCTAAACAACTTTGTTCAACAAGTCAAACTCCGTAACTGTTTTCCCATTAGCACCTGATCTGACCTGAAAGGACTCTGAAATTAAAATACAGCAGGTGTTGTCTCTGTGACAATGTTCAGCTGAGCTGCCCAAGCACAAGTCCAACCTTGTAAGTGTGTGTCTGCAGGAACTCCCATGTTGGACACTTCAAACAAGTCACAGCATGACTGTTGGTTCATGTGAGACAATCTGACCAACTTGAAATATTCTTCCTTCAATACAGGTGTATGCAGTAATTGACAGTGTTGTAAACACTGTGTTGCCACAACATATGTTTTTTTCTTAAGTCCTGTATTTCCCAACCAATGTAATGTCATGGCTCATAAGTGGTTGACTGAAAATCTTCCTATTGTCTACAAGGGGTGAATTCAACCTCAGTCAGTACCAAGATTGATAAAAGATCTGGATAGATCCAGGCTATCACCTGGTCACTGCCTCAAAATGACATTGACTGTCTTGAGACTGATATGCTCTTCAACAAAATAGATGTTATTACTAGTTGGGATATAACAATCATCCTAGTTAGTTCTGAAACCAAAATAATCTGCATTTGTGCCAAGATGTTGTTTCTGAAATCTATGCTTCCAGTAAATTGATGTTACCTACCTTTTATGAGACCATTTCCGTTGCACAGACATTATATCTGGTGCTAATGACACCTCATACTGTCTTCACTTCTGTTGAACCAAAGCTTACCTCAAGATGTAGGTACAAAAATGTAGAGCAGGTTATGATCAAGTCAACTTACCTTATTACATTGCACTGTTGGATTTCTCAACCCCTTCTTTCAAACAAGAGAAAGAGTGAACACTTACTGGACAATTACAGCTTGGGCAACTCCAAAAGACCCTAAGAAGTACAGCCCTCCTACGTCCGTCATATATCATGTATGTAGAAGTTTAACATATATCAGAACCTCCACTGGTTGGCCCAAAAAGGAAAGTGCAGTGATAATGCTCTTATATCATGAGCCTTCCAGTCACTTCTGATACAGGTAGAGAGCTCTTCACATTGGTTGCTTTTGGAAAGAGTGGGTTTTCACCAACATGTATCACTGCAAGGCAATACTATGTTAGCACTGGGCAAAAGGTTCAGAGGTCCACACTGCCACCTTGTAGGGTTCGAGCACTTTTAAGTAATTCATACTTTACATGATTTCCTGTGTTTATTTGACCATGGAAACATGTTAGTATTAATGTAGAGGCAAATTTAAAGGTACTGGGAGTTAAGATAGGGCTGTTTTGAGTGGAATAGATTGTTTTAGTGTCCAGAATATGAACGTTGCTTTGTTTTGTGGTCGAACAGTGGTCAGAGACCCTCAAGGTGAGTCTTACCATCAAGTAGTGGTTCCCTGGCTTCTAAATATTTTGGAACTGATGAATTTGACAACAAATTAGGTTAAAATCACCACTGCCACAACAATGTGAGTGTCTAAGTTAATCTCCTGAGGGTCAGTTTGAAATCAAATGATAAGAATATCATGAAATATGTTCACTGCTGACAGCAGAACATGTCACAAACCCTTGTTTTAAATGCAAACAGTGTAGCATATGATCAATTCTTTCTGTCTGTCCCCTTTTGCATATGCAACGACCTATTTTTCTTTTCCTTTTTTAGAAATATACCCCTTTTTTCACCCATAGGACTTTCAAAATGAATTTCTGTTTTATTAACAACTGTCTCATTGCTGTTATGGATTTTATGACTTGACATTTAATGTATTCTCAACACTATTTTCAGCTTGTAGAATGCCTGTTGGAGAATGGGGAGGTGTATCTTCACAAATACAGCAGAAAAAGAAGCCTTCACATCCAATGTGGTATTTCGACAAGCCGGTCCGAAGTCTGTTGTTGGCAGTGTCTAATCAAGCATACTCCCTTTGCTTCGATATGCTTTACAGCCTTGTAGACTGACTGACTGACTGAGTTTGGTTTTACGCCGCTTTTAGCAATATTCTAGCAACATCACGGCGGGGGACACCAGAAATGGGCTTCACACATTGTGCCCATGTGGGGACTCGAACCCGGGTCTTCGTCGTGACGAGACAACACTTTAATCATTAGGCTACCCCACCGCCCCCCGCCTTGTAGAAGTTGCAGTACTTGGACATGTAGGTACATATAGTACATTTAAGTGCCCCCAGTCCAGTTAAGGCACCACAATGTCTCACTACCAAATTCCATCACTCGGTCATCCTCACTCATTAGAAATTTCTGACAGTGTCCCCTTAATGCCTCACTGTGTAGTATTTCAGTTTCCCAGACATGAAATAAGGGCTGTACATCAACCCCAGAAGCTGCTTAGATGTAAATAATAACAACTGACCCTTGTGGTATGTAATATTATGGGTCTGAATTCATTTTATTGACATGAGAGTGTTCGATATCTTAAAATTATCTCCCCTGTTTACCCAGATACATCGTGTCTTTCTCTAACCCAGTAACCCATAAATTACTGCAGAGAAGCTCGGTTTTTACCTGATATTGCCAAACACGGTTAATTGTAATTAAAAATATTCAGTTTAGGGCAGAGTAACCAATAAATTTCCAAAATTATGTGGATTTTTTCACTTTGTTCCCTCTAAACTGGCTAATACATGAAATTGGCAAGTCTAACAGCCTCAAACAATACACAGTAAATAATATTGAATTTCTGGAAGTATTTCAAAGTCTTAGCTTGATGAATCAATATATTCAAGTGTAAGTTCTTATCATGCTGTGGTCTAAAAGTGATTTCATCTGTTTAAGGGGTCATTTGCCTTGACAGGCGGCAGGGTACTGTGGTCAGTGTTTCAGACTGCTAGGCATTATCCAACCCCTCACTTATTACATTCTGGCAAAGTTCATCATCCAGCCTTACATATGTCAGGATGTTAATGCTGCTTAATGTTAAACCTGTCCAATTTCATGCCTGAATTCCATGATTTTTGTCGTTCAAAATATATTTTGGATTGATATGATCAAGGCAGTCACAGTCATGCATGGAATTAACCCATGGCCCCCCTTCTTTTGTGAAATAAGAGTAAACTCCCATGGTATATGTATGATTTGAAAACTTTCTCTATTAATGCAGAAGTGCATTTTGTATAGCTTTGGTGAAATAGACATGATATAACTCTTACAGCTCTTTCAGTGCAGCAAATCACTATATTCTTGTGCCATATAGATATGTTGGACAGGAAAAAGTATTGAAGCTTCATGCAATTTTATATTTTTTCTGAGAAGTTACATGTATATACAGTACATAAATCACAGATTTGCCTAGGGCAAATGTTTCTAAATTTTCCTATAGGTTCTACTACACTAAATCAGTATCACATGCTCCCTGCGCGAGACCCGTATGTAAACAAGTAAGGAGAGACAGAGACATGTGACAGCTGTGATTGGATGAAATAGTGTAAGATGTTTGTTTTTTAAAAGCACATCCAACCAGTAATTAAAACTGACCACAATTTTAAGTATTTAGTGCTGTCATTTGTATCACCATCACTTATACTTATTGTGTGTACAGATATTTTCCAGTAGATGACATTTGGTGCGGAACTGGGGTTGATGTGTTCCGCTTCCTGTGCTCGCAAACGAGCCGGACAAGTTGGCCTGATATTTTGTTTTATGGTAGTTTAAAGGCCAGAGTGTACCCATGTGTACATGGAATGGCTGTTGATAGCCTGGATATTTAAAAAAAATATATAAGGTTACTATAGAAGTCTATGGGAAAAGATTTGGTGGTGTGTAACCTAAAAGGGATTGAGTATTGCCAGTGACCTAAGAGGATTCTTGCCATGGTGTGATTTTTGACGATTAATTCAGAGAGAGCCCTCAGAGTAAACCTATTTCATTCCAGTGCGTGCATGCACATGCGAGTGAGAGAGTAGTCAAAGGGAATCAAGCTGTTTTTGCAAAAGAAAGCGAAAGGCAGTAGTCACAGAAGCTTGCAAAACAGATGCCTTATGAACATGCCTATATGGTGCTTCCAGACGGAACAAGTGTTTGCCACTAACATGGGAATGT